CCCCCCCCCCCCCCCCCAACGACCCTCTCCCTCGTCTCTTCAACATCATTTATTGGTATTTCTACACTCTTTACATTCTTCTACTTTCTCTTTCTCTCTGTCTTCTTCTTCTTCTTCTTCTTTGTTTTTCACCTTCCCGATCGGGAGGAGGTAGCTTCTTGGGGACTAAATTTGTTTAGGAACGGACTCATTTGGACTGACCCTTGATGTGATTTCTTTGTTTTTCGTGGTAATTGGATTGGATTGTGAGTCCTCGATCGAATCTGGCGGCGTTTGAGATCAATTCTTCCCTTTGTTATTGTGTTTTTGAGGAGTACAAGGACTTCGAGGATTGGGGTTTTGATTTGAGGATATGGGTTGTTTTCCTTGTTTCGATTCGAGGGAGGAGGAGAAGCTAAATCCTGAAAGGGAAAGCGATGATGGTCAGCAAGACCATCCAATGGTTCCACCGAACATTGCGAAATTACCTTCTGGTTAGTTTTTCTCTTCTCTTTCGTTCTTGATCTGTGTAGACTCTCTGGTAAATAAAAATCTGTGTGTTCTTGATCTAGTGTGTACGATTCATCATTGTTGTTCCTTTTCTCGCTTCTTGTTAGTCTAAGAAAGGTTTTGATTAAATGGGAAAAAAGAAAATTGATGTGGAGCTACTTTTAGTGGACCCCAGTAGATTTTCATAAATTTGATAGACCTGTGTTTTTTTCATTGGAGGAATCATGGTGAATTCTGTAGTATGATGCGTCTGACCGAAACATTTGTTATAGGGATCAGAGTCGCAATCAATGGTTTAGTAGTCACTAAATCTGGCGATTGCGTTCATCCAAATTTGTGTACTCTGCATCAATCATGTTTGTATGATAGATAATATGTGTTTGCAATATTACATTCTTTCCGCTTTGCAAATATAGTTTTACCACTTCAAACATCTTCCCCCTTTTTACGGAGGACGGATCCTAAATTTTAGAATGGTGTAGGAGGACCGCATACTTCAAATGGATCTGTTACTTAATTGCTATGATTGTATGTTTTGCTTGCAGGCACAGACAAACTTGGATCCAAAAGTAATGGAGGTTCCAAAAGGGAACAGCAGATTCCCAAGGATGCTCCTCTCGTCAATATTTCTGCTCAAACATTCACTTTCCGGGAGCTTGCTATTGCGACAAAGAACTTTAGACCCGAATGTTTTATTGGGGAAGGAGGATTTGGACGTGTATACAAAGGGCGGCTCGAAAGCACAGGCCAGGTTATGTGTCTATATTTAAGGCATCAATTTGATATTGTTACAGGCATGGGCATAAAAATTTCGATTATATATTAGACTTGGCCATTCTTGTTTGCTCTTTTCCAGAAGTAAATTAGGATTATCTTATGCATGGAATTAATCTTTTACTTGAAAGGAAAGGGGACGTGAGAATGTTAAAATTGGATTAGTCTTCACATTTGGAAGATACTATCCATTAAGGAAATGTAAGGAGGATGAAATTGATATCTGTTACCAATTTTGAAGGAATTATGAGTCATCTACAACTTGTATTATGCTAGCAAGTAAGAATGTCGTTAAAAAGAAGATATTGTTTCATTAAAGTAGCTTAGAAGTTCCTACTGGAAAAATAGATTGGAGTTGATCTATTACTAGTAGCAGAAAGGGGGAATCAGATTGTTAAGAATGAATTAAGCCTTACCGACTTGCATGACACCTATCCACAAAGAACTACTATCTAGTTTCTTCGTGTCTTGTCACAGAAATGTATATAAATTTTGCATATATGTAAAACTTATAGGACTTCAACTTGAAAATTATGCCTTCTTAAACAGAGAGGGATCTACTTCCCATCTTCTGAAATAATTAGTTGAAATTCACCTGTCATATTCCATGTCGCTAGAATATATTTTGATATCAATGGAAATTTCTTATTTGCATATTTTGCCGCAGATTGTTGCTGTTAAACAGTTGGATAGGAATGGTCTTCAAGGCAACAGAGAATTTCTAGTGGAGGTTCTCATGCTTAGTCTTCTACATCATCCAAATTTGGTGAATCTGATTGGTTACTGTGCTGATGGGGATCAACGACTTCTTGTGTATGAGTTCATGCCTTTGGGATCATTGGAAGATCATCTTCACGGTAACATTTTCCCCTGACTTGAAAGCCTATCATTTGGACGAATCACATGTGAATAAGTAGTCAATATATGAAGAATCATTTCAGAAATCGCCCTACAATTTAGCATGGATTTTGAATGTAGATCTGATGTTGATTGTGAGCCACTATTTTTCCACTTTTCTTGCTGGTTTAAGATTGGATATGGTCTAGAACCTAATCTTTGAAAAGGGTTGAGACCAAATTCTAATGATTTTTTTGTAGCCTGCTGTTGGCTCTCAGAGAAAACAGACCTGGTCAGTTTGAGGATGCCTTTTAAATTCTAGTATTTCCAACCTGTATCAAATTTTCGCTAGATTACTATTGCCCTAAAGCTGTTATACAATGACCATTCTATCTGATCAAAGAGCATGCTAGATGGACCAAAGGACTGTTTTGAATGAATTCACATAGAAAAGAGGACTTCTTGTCGACCTATTTCTCTGTTTATTGTTCATAATTTACCCCTTGTGACATTCTTGGAAGTAATTAAGTTTCTGGGAAGCGGGGTGAAGGGAAGTCCACGTCTCGAGTACATTATCTTATGTGTGGATATGTGATTTAATAAAAAAACTTTTTTCTTTTAATTTCCAATGTTATTCATTCTTACGTTGTCTACTCATATTCAGATGCAGTATTTAATGAAGTTTAGTGGCTGCTATTTGGTTATATCATCAATGTTGTTGCAATTTAATACAATTGTGTGCATATTATGTGAAATTATACAAGTCTTGTAATTTGTGAGATGTGTGTTGTAATGACTTGCTAGTCTAGTTTATGAATAAAACATAGTAAATCTGTCATATCATTCTTCCCGTTTGATTATTTTGTGTAGCCACTTAGAAGTATGCATAAGAGGAGTATTGCTACATACCTGATCATATTAATTTCATTTAGTTATAAAAATCAATGGAAAAGAAAAGTTGTAGCAAGTTAATAAAATTTACAATATTATTTTAGAATCAGAAGCTAAATGTATAGGACTATCATGGCATTGCTTGCTTATGTTTAGAATCAGAATCAAAGCTAATTTGGTGTGAGACCTGCAAAAGTAAATAGAAAAGAGAGGTGAAAAGAAAAGAATGCAGTGGTACTCACTAAAATGGGAATTACATTCCTTATCCTTCAAAAAGAAATGGTTCTTAATGTATTTATTTTTAGCTTAGGGCTTACCCATTGGGAATCATGCTTTATTCCTTGTTGAACTTTTATCTTCTTTTAAAGCTCTCTTTCTGTAATTAATTGGAATGGGACTCTGCTGGATTTAGGGAGAATCTTTTTGTTCTCCCTTACTTCTTGTAACTTTCTCCATGAAGAATGTTATTTTACTTCTAAACCCTAAACCTTCAAGTATTTTGATTATAAAAAATTTTCTTCTTAAATCAGAAATTCCACCTGATAAGGAACCCCTTGATTGGAACACGAGAATGAAAATAGCTGCTGGTGCAGCCCGAGGTTTAGAGTACTTGCATGACAAGGCAAACCCTCCAGTTATTTATAGAGACTTCAAATCCTCCAATATATTACTTGAGGAAGGATACCATCCAAAGCTTTCTGATTTTGGCCTCGCCAAGCTTGGCCCTGTTGGAGATAAATCTCATGTTTCCACCAGGGTCATGGGGACTTATGGTTACTGTGCTCCTGAGTACGCCATGACTGGACAATTAACCGTCAAGTCTGATGTTTATAGTTTCGGTGTTGTGTTCTTAGAGTTGATTACTGGACGGAGAGCCATTGATAGCACCCGACCCCAAGGTGAACAGAACCTCGTCACATGGGTAAGACATGCTCATATTTTTATAAAATGTTGGATAGTATTTTTGTTGCATGCTAATTATAGTTGGTCTTTTTTTTTTTTACACAATGAAGGCACGCCCGTTTTTTAACGATCGCAGAAGATTCTCGAAACTGGCCGATCCACAGTTGCAGGGGCGGTATCCCATGCGAGGTCTCTACCAGGCTTTAGCTGTGGCATCCATGTGTACCCAAGAACAAGCTGCAGCCCGTCCACTCATTGGAGATGTGGTCACTGCCCTGTCTTATTTAGCAAATCAATCCTATGATCCAAGTTCTCCTTCAGGTACAGCTGCTTCTCAGAGAGGTTCTGGTGATCGGGACGAAAGACCGAACAGTGGCGAGAAAGGTGGAGGGGTGGTAAAGAATGAAGAAGGGGGAGCATCTGGACGAAGGTGGGCACTGGATGGTCCGGAGAAGGACGACTCCCCCAGGGAGACTGCAAGGATTTTGAATAGGGATTTAGACAGAGAGCGTGCGGTCGCTGAGGCGAAGATGTGGGGAGAGAATTGGCGAGAAAAAAGACGACAGAGCACGCAAGGCAGTTTTGATGGGTCTAATGGATAAGTAATGCAATTAGAAGAAGAGATGCAGAAGGAATGATCTCCTCTGTTACCGCGTCTACTTCTCATTCCTTCCTTACGTTTGATTGGTGGAGGAAGAAGGAAGAGGTTCCAATGTTAGGAGGTGTTATTGAAGCTTCTAAAACGTTGCTCATAGGGTGGCTGCTACTCAGTGTCATTGTGAGCAGCAAAGCAATGGATGTAGGGGTTGGGTTGATCCTTGCGGACTTGGTTAATACTTTTTTTTCTCAACTCTGTTCAGTTAAAACTTTCCTCCTTTATGAATTCCCATAACCCATACATGAGAAGGAAGAAGAAGAAGAAGAAGAAGAAGAAGAAGAAGTAAAGGCAAGCATGGTGGAGGAGAATGCAATGTACATAGAGAGAGACGTGAGGCTTGGCATGTTTGATTGCCTATGTCCTGTATGATGAACTCTGCAGTACAAAACTGTTTGAATCGGCCAATTTTGATGAACTCTGCAGTATAAAGCAGAGAGCAGCAGGTTTTGTTTAATAAAACTCTACACCACAATAAAACTGAAACATTGGCTGCAGAAAGTATGAAGAACATAACATAATCATGATCTTCTCGATATCTATATAACATCCTTTAATTCAACGTCATTTCTGTTGGGCTTCACTCACTGCGACAACTGCTATGCTTTTTACTTGTTCTGGCAGCTTCTCTTCCATTATTTTCCGCTTTCTGTAAACTGCATAGAGCAGCATCTGAAGCAGCCCCAATATGAAGCCCACCACATTTGGAATCTGTCCCACATTTCTCATTAATGCACACCCATTCCCTAAACTAATTATACGATTATGGTTTGGAATTATTACTTACAGCTATGCACATGTCTTTCAAGAAAACACCATAAGCAAACCACATTACGGCGCTCAATGTGAGGAAGAAGGACAGTGAAAATGGCAAAAACTCGACGCTCTTGGTTTTAATTACTTGTCTCTGCAACCAAACACAAGTAATTCCTGTCTTAAGTGCAATCGTTTATAGAATAAAAATGGAATGAAGATGTAATAAATGCGCACCAAAATGCTTAAAGGGGCTGCAAAAACAGAGATGGAAACAGCAACACAAATCCACCCCATTACTTTGACAGCATTTGAACGTTTGGGAATGAAGTGGATGGCAAGGAGGATGAATCCAAGCAGCCCCAAGTTGATGACAGCAAAGATTCTGATGGTCAACATCTGAAGGGAAAGAATGAAGCATTACATAGTGAGAGATGTTAAGAAGAAGAAGAAGAAGAAGAAGAAGAGGACTGACCCTGACTGGATTGGCGGCGAATGCAATGAAAACGATCAAGTAGAGAAACTCGAGGACGCAGCCAAAGGAGTTGATGGTGATGAGAAGAAAAGTGTTGGTTTTGAGGATGGCATAGTAAAGCCAAAGGGCGGAGCTGAAGAGAGCCACTAGGTATGGCAGTGCATGGAAGCCCTCCGTCGACTTCTTTTGCCATATTCTGTAAAACGTCGGCAAAGGAGCCAAGTACACAAAGATGGAAAGGATGTTACCTGCCACGCAAAATTTTTGAAGTTATGTCACAACACCCACTAATTGATTGATTAATTAATTAATATATTGATTAGAATTAGTGTGGTATTTAGAGAAATATGAGAATGGTTAATGATTACCAAGAATGCCAAATGTTAAAGCTAAGATATGGGGGCTGTGAAAAATGGCCATTTTTTCTCTGTCCCTCCAAACAAACAGCTTACAAGCTTGATGTTATTGCTGGTGTTGTTGTATGAAGGAAAGGGTATCCCGGGCAAGGAGGCCTTACAACCCTCTCCCTTTCTGTATCCTCTGTGTAGCTCTCTTGTTTTCAGGTTGAAATAAGAAGAAGAAGAAGAAGATGATGATGATATTGAGAAGAAGCAGTGGAGATATTTGGTTTATATAGAAATGAGAGTGAAAGAGAGAGACAGAGTTTTGAAGGCAGGTGGAGAATTGGTAGGTAAGTTACCACAAACTCATGCAACCAACCCAACCCTTATGTGCTTCTTTCTTACTCTCTGTCACACACACCTCTTACAAACTTCCTTCTCTTCCTCTCCCACACACCTCTGACAAACTTCCTTCTCTTCCTCTCCCACAAATCGTTCCATAACACTGCCATATGTATCTTATTTTTAATTTTCCATTCTAGTAGATTATTAGATTATTGTAATGAAAAGAAAAGGTTAGTTGAAATGCACTCGGGTGCTTCAATTCAATAAGAGAAAACATAGAAAGAAGAAATTTGTCTATTTTTTGCATTTGATGTGTAAAGAAAGTAAGAGAAGTTAATTAGGTGGTGTGAGTTTGGTCATCCTTTTTGGTCATCCTTTTTGGTCATCCTTTTTGGTTACCCAATGAGTTTCAATATAGGGTTTTCTTCATTTTCCATTAACTGCTAATCTCCCATTTATATTAGGAGTTGGTGAAAACGTTACTTGAGATATAATTTTGTTGCTTAATTAAGAATATAGTGGATGAATAATAATAAAATGAGAATGTTTTCAGTGTTGAGGAAAAGAAAAACAAGAATATGAAAACAGGAAATAATGAATGAAATTGAATTAGAAGAGTTAGGTAGGGTGTTAGGATGTGTTAATAGAACTTAACAACTTTGGATATTAATTTTGGTTTACTATATCGATGCTGGGTTTCAAATTAGGCCTATTTTAGCTGCTTCCATTCACATGGGCTACTAACACGCACTCCACCCTTAACATGTTCAAATTAAATTAAATATCACCTTCCCTTCTACAAGTTCTCTCCATCCAGGTTGCAATTTTAAAATTCATCGACATATCGTGAAAACAACATTAACCAACTGTTCATTATAAAATTCTCCAAACAACATATATATGTATGAAGTAGTTAAAAAGTGTAAAGATTTAATCAAACTTCTTATATTTCTTCATAATAAATCAATTAGAGTTTAATAAAATTATCCATTATTTTACTCCGGAAAACAAAAACAAAATTAAAATTCATGCAGGAATACATAGATTTTCCATTTTAGGAAAAATGCATGTATTGTTTGATCCAAAATTATGATAATTAATAAAATGGTTATCCGACAAAAAGATAAGATTAAGTCGGTCACGTCTTTGATTTAATACAAATATTTGGAAAGTTGAAAGAATTAAGAAGCTAAGCTCTATAGTTTATGATATAATCATTTGGTGCATATTTTATACAGAAATTAATTAATTAACAGCCAACCCACTCCGCACTTTTCCCCCTTTTTCCCTCTTCTTTATTTCAATAACAAAATAATATTTATGAAAACACCATCATGCGAAAATGATTGATATAAATTAATTAGTTTGTTTAAACCTTTTTTTTTTTTTTTTATGGTTTATTGGCGTTGATGGGACAAACGTTGAAATTATATTCATATTTTAAACAACAAAACCACCTCTTCATTCATATACATAAATCTAAGACTAAATGCAAATTTCCCAATGAATACACAAAATAAAAAAAAAAATAAACAAAAATATAGAACTAAAAATTAAACAAATTGAGGAAAAGGGGAAATAATAATTATTATTATACTTTAATAAAGGGGGAAAAACAGAGAGGCAAAAATACTAAATAAATAAAATAGAAAAAAACACAATAATGGCATCCTTTGACGTTTCAAAGCCTCTTCAACACCCACACGCAAACTCCTTTGACCTCCCAAAATTATTTTAATTTCAAATAAATAATTATGAGAGAGAGAGAGAGAGAGAGAGAGAGAGAGAGAGAGAGAGAGAGAGAGAGAGAGAGAGAGGAGAAATCAAAATTCAGCCGCAATTTGGCTTACGAAACAAAACTATTTTTCTCTTTTTTCCTTCATATTTATTTATTTATTTATTTCAAAGCTTTTGATATGCTAT